AATGCCACGTGAGAAACGTTTTTAAATTTTATTCTCTCCTTACAATATCTTGAAGAATTCCCCCTCTTCGCGACATTGCATAGGCTTAAGTGGAATATCTATGAATCTTCCTAAGTCGCCTATGTTCTATTTTCCATTTGCCTATTTTCCAAGGGGTAGATGATCTCCTAATTAGTGAACGTTCTCATGATTCGGTGAGATCAGCAGTGCAACAACAAAAATATGGACCGTGAAATACACTGACCTGTAATCGGAATGAGCGGGGTCAATCGAAGAATATGAGCAGCACCAATTTCGTGAATCACTGGCTGAGGGCTGAAAGGCGCTCAATGCTGAGAAGAAATGGTCATGCGAAACAAAATCAGAAAGCGTCCCAGATGCACACAGAAAATCCGACTCTCTTATTTTTTCTACGTCTCTCTTGCAAGAGATAAGAATTCATATCAGCCTTCCAAAGATAATAGATAAATAGATATGGAGGTCGGGCCATTTTCTTGGTTCGCAATTCTAAATGAAGAATTATTGATATAATTAGAAGCATATTGGGTGACGCAAAAAAACGCTCCTTGTTCGATGCTGTATGCAATTTGCTGCATATCATCTAGGTTATTGATATATTCGAATCACATTGGAAACACCGCAAAAATTATTTCCTGAATGTTTCATGTGCTTAGTTTAGGTTGTCCGAATGAAATGTGGCAGTCATTCAAAGGGAAGTGTAAAAATTAATAAACTCAAATACTTCGATTTTTGCTAAAAAAAAAATTGTTTTTGGGAACACCTTTTTCGATCATTCAGATTTCCGAGATTTTCTGCAAAGAGCACCATCCCGTTTTCGTTCGCAGCAACGTCAGTGTTGCCGTTCACGGCCTAATTCCACAAACTGTTGATGGAGGAATGAGATGCATAATAGTCTAGATGTGGACGTGAACGTGCTTTTACGTGAACAATAGGTGGAACCAGGAAATGAATTTTTCTTGTTTTCTACCGACACGTCAGCTGGGCCATCATCGTGCGCTCTACTCATCTGCCTGCTTTCACGTGGATCCCTTTGTTCCAAGACCTGTCGGGGGAGGGCACACTTCCCCAAAGCATTTTATCTTATCTCATATTATAGCTTCTTCTATTGTGAACATAACGATGTTAGTAATACTTCTTTATTACAGCGTCTCGCTCCGTTGCGAACAGGAATTTTTAACATCATCTCCTTTATAATTCAGCCGAGGATAACGAGTCGTTTCTAATGAAAATTCCGATTTCATTCGACTTTATTCTTGCATTCTATCACGAATTGTATGTGTTTGAAAATATAAAATTTTCTCGATCACAATTTCTTGTTTTTCTCAATCGTGATGTCACTAGTCCTAGTGTCTCCGGTCCTGAAATGAGATTCGCTTTCATGAATCCCCTCTACATATTGACCGATATTGTGACTAAATTTCCCATTGCTTCAAGGTATTCGGAGACTTCTGGACTACTACTCATAGGGATGGCCAGATCGTTCCGGTCCTGCTTGCAGCAAACCTACGCGTTACGTGTACGGGAAGGCTTGGACGTCTTCTTTCCTTGGAGGGAGACCTGGGGCCGTATTCTATTAAAATCTTAAACTTAGTTTAAGCAAATTGCTTAACCGCGGCCATGTATTTGAATGGGGCAAATACCAGCTAAGCATCTTGCTAAGAGGAAAATCACACTTAAATAAGTAATAAAATACGACCCCAGGTCATTTGCAGTTCCCCAGGCAGGAATGATTGCAAATGATGAGGTACAATGGCGTATTTTACAAGGGGGCAGGGGGGGGGGGGGCAGCCGCCCTTCTGGCGCCCATAGGACAAAGCCTGGCACCCCTTGGAGGAAATAATTTCCTCACCTGATATCACTCGGGTTGGTTCGGCGCCCCCGCTCTGTTGCCTTGCCCCCCCGACCCTTCAGCCAAAATACGCCACAGGTGAGGTAGCATGTGCGTTTCAGACAAGAAAGTACTGGTTCCAGTAAATACGTCTGTCGTGATTATACAGCAACGGGCTCATGTTGGTCATATATGTTTGTCATCAAATGATGTCGAAAGCGTGGAATTGGTATTCGAACGTTCCCAGGGACTACAAGGCAACGCGACAGAAGAAAAAACCGCGACATTCAAGAAGGTAATGATGCATTTTTTGGCAGCTATTTGTTTGGAATAGGATTCCACTCAATAATCTCCAGAACTGCTGGTCTTGGTAATAGGCTTCATCTGTTCCTTTCTGGATAATACATTCCTGCCAGCTGCAGGATTTATTAAACACAGTTCCTATTTAGGTTTTCGCCCGGTCGAGGGTTGACAGTCGACCCGAAATTGGATAGCCCTTACGGGAAGTTCGATCCTCATTTGGCATTGAGTAACGTCGATCTGTCAACAGTGGGTTCGGAAAGAATCTCTCCTGAATATGGTCAAAAGGGCAAGCACCTCTTCCAATTTAGGTTTAACAATGTGCAGGCAATGTCTGGGCAAACCAGAGTGGAATATATTAGATTTCAACTTGTGTATTACTAGTCTTGTTCATTTCATTCGCAAACTGATGCTGGTAATCGCCCAAGATGAGGATACCACAGCGTCGATAGACAAGCACACATACGAAGTGAAATTTTCTGTCGTATCAGTCGTCCATTCTTTTATTCGTACTTGTCATACATTCAAACCATTGTTCGGTGAGTCTTCGGTCTTCCTCTCTCAACTTTGGATAGTGAAACCCAAGGAGGACGATAACTCTCTTGACAGGACCTGTGGCATTTCCGGCGGCGTAAGGTGGAGGAGAACTCTCCCTTCCGGTAGATCTTTCTAGCTTTCGATGGTTCAATGTCGAAACTTGATACAACATCTGACGCATAATCCTACCTTATCTACTGCATGGGCCGAAAATAGCTTCGGTTATCTTCATCACTCCACAGCACTGGTCTCCAAGAGTTGGCTAAAATTGCCATAGCACTTCCATATGGAGCATTCATTATGCTTTCCAATGATGTCAACAGAGTAAAGATTTGAGACATCACTTCCAGGAAGTGATGTCTTTATCTTAGATAAAGAATATAAGAGATGACATTGGAAATTTGAACAATACCTTGGCCAGATTGCGAATGTGGAAGCGAAGGAATGGACGTCACCTGGGTATCTTGCAGGGTAATTGTAAATGCACTTTTTAACCGCTTCCTCTTGTTCTTTGTGCATAGCTGCATCGGAATGACGGAATAGATCTTAAATATTTTGGTAGCAGTGGCAAGCGAGATACATTTTTTTTCATAGAAAAGCCCTTGCAGTATTCTGAAGCTCTCTCAAAACTGCACTGTGAATCTTTAGATAACGGAATATTTGTTGACCCATCCTGTAGTAACACCGGTAATGCGTTTCCAAGGTTCAGATCGTTCACTGGGCTAAGTCACAGCAATCTAGTGAGCGCGAGATACAACGGTCCTTTTTAACATGAACAACCGACCTCTACGCCCTCAGGTCATTCCCGCCAACTCACAGCTCGTTCTGACGTCACTGGTTGTCTCCCTCGACTCCGTCATCTACGTCTTCCTTCTTTCCTTTCCCCTACTGAGGCTGCTCTAACCCTAGTTCTATCTGCAATAGATCATGCTTCATCCGAAATTATATCACCAGGAATAGCTCACATGCTCTTTTCGTGCAGCACCGGTGAGAGCCTTCAGAACCTTCAGGAAGAATCACGAATTCCATTCCTTCATTCGAAATATTCTATGAATTGATCATTACATATTAATCTGTGGAAAGGAATTGCACACAATTTGTGTACTCAATTTAATAGTGAAAGCAGAATGGATGTAACAGCATTCGAGAATGTTCATAGGGGCCTACGATTATAAAAAGGAAAACACTAGTACTTTCAATGGAGAAGCCTTTAGGAACTTTGTGATCCTAATTTGGTCAAGCTCTCTCTGCTCTTAAGACTCTGGGTGAGAAGCTTGGTTAATAAATTCCCATGCAGGAGACCTAGGTTCGAAACCAACATTACGTTTATTTCTTCAAGTTAGCTTTAATTAGCATTCTTGGGAAGAAGAGATCTCCGGGCCTACAGCTGAACCAGTCTCCCTATGCTAGAGGTCCCTCTTGTTGGTTTACGCTATCGGGAGGAGGGAGGAGATTAACTTTGCTTATGAGTCAGGGGATTAATCGTTCGTCCACAGCCTCTTGCGCTTGTTACTGTATCACACGGAAGGAACACGTGTTTCCCAAGGAAAAACTTAATTCATGATAAATTTCTCAAACTGATCATCCAGTATTGGATGGGGCATCCGATGATTTATTCTTCTTATGAGACAAAACTTGTTCCGAAGAACTGTTTTCCTCATTTTATTCGAAAAAGGAAAATTTCAACTCAGTAGAAAATTTGTTTGGTAAAAAAATTATTGACTTAAAATTGACAGTTTCTTTTAAATCATTGAAAATAATGGAAATCATAGTTCCGTCAATTTTCAAGAAAGAGAATTGCTAGGATGGGATGATGGCAGCAGAAGAGGAGATAGGAATACACATCAAAGGACATTATTAGTCGCAATAGTCACGGTGAGAGAGATCCATCTGAATCAGGAAAATTCGATGCGTAGCAAACGCGAACGAAACGAAAATGTATCCAGTGCACCAAGCGATGTCCAAAAATCGCATCATATATTGCCTAGATATTTCATGGATAAATCATGATTTTCGTACGTCCGTATGCAGCGGACGTGTGTGGAATCGTCCTTCGCTACTTGGATGGGTGGGATAGGAAAAAAGAAATTTCACCTCCAGGCTTCGTGTTTTTTTTTTAAATTAAGGAATTAGGAAGAATGTGAGATCAGACGTTAGGATATAAATCTGATGTCATACAGGGGTTCGAAAGTTTTTCAGATCATGAGAGTTGTCATTGCCAACTAAGATAAGGGAAACGGTCATGCCCATCCTTGATAAGATAAGAAGCCATGAAACAGCAGTAATTTCTCTCTTCCTATTTTACAGAGTCTGAGGTGAACATGATTCAACACCCTGTATCCTAGATTCCCGAGGCAGGATCACTTATTTCTCTTGTGGAATACTTGAATCCTCCTTGAACTCCAAACGTAAGTCTCTAATCATGTATTGTGCAAAAGTTATCGGAATGTTCATGGGGGCCCAGTTTAGCTTTCAGCAAGTATAGACTGAAACCGTGGTGGCCTTGGAATATACCCTATTTATGACTACTCCTTCCAGAAAGCAGGTTATATGGAACATGCATACGGAGCATGTCATGCCAGGTAATTATTCCAGCTAGGTAATTATTCCAGCTATTCCAGGTAATTTCCTTGGGCCACACGTATATCCTGTACTTGTGAGGCCAGAGGAACTGCAACACCCCAGACGGGTGAATCTGCCAATTTTTACAATGGTCGTGCAGGAGAACGTGAAATAGGAATACTATATCTGCTACGTTTAGCTTTCGATATATTAATTATTAAGATCTTTAAAGTTTTCCGCAATGATAGTAATATTCAATATTTCACTTCGGTAAATGTGAGTCATTTATCCGAGATTCCATGGGTGTAGACCTCTTTTTGCAATATAACGTCAAAACTTGTTATCTATTTTTGGTGTCAACAATGTTACTTTAACCCATCATTGACCTGGAAAATCAACAAATAAACAATGAAAAATGCAATTATCGAGATTTCCTTCATATTAGCATGGATGGAATAGTTACACGGAGCGTATCAGGAAAAAGTACACCACTCATCATTTGAAGTGGATCACTATCAAATTCGTTGATTCCGATGAAACTAATGAAGTATGACACATATTGCTCGCATCTACTCTTGAACCACTTTTGTATTCGATTAGTTGAAGAACCCGTGTGAATAAGCAAGCGATCCAAGCAGAGTAAAATCTGAAGAATGCAGACAGAGATACAAATCGTTTGCACGTTGTGTCAATGAAAGCTGTCTCCCATACTCACATCCGCTTTACTATATCAATATGCGTGAGTAGGACTGCCAATATGCCTTGCATCGTTCAGAACCTGAACATCTGCTTTGGACTGATGTACTGCTGGCTGTCGTCACAACGTAGTGTCGCGCGTGCGTTAAATTTATCCTAAAGCGTTATCAACAGGTTGCAGACGAGGCTCAAAACGACGAATTCTGTTGAATATCGGCACGGTGAATGTCGGCAGCTGTCAACAACATCCACGAAAGACCGTTATTTGAGGGTGTCTGACGCACGTAATCCCAGCTCGGACATTACAATTTTATTGAGATACCCCTAGAGACTGAAAATATTCGTGTTTGCGCGTTTCGACACATGATATTAAGAGAAGGCTGCGCTGAGGAAATTTGAGGTCAAACCGACGTGACCTGTTCCATGTCACTTCGAGTGACACTTCTTCGACGGAAATTTCTCCGCCATTTCTTCGATTGGACGCTTCTTTGAAAGGCTTTCGTCGAAACGTCCAGTTGAAGAAGTGGCGGAGAAATGCCTTTCGAAGAAGAGACATGGAACCGACCTGCCCGACATCCACTGTTGTCCCTTTTGCGCAGATAGCAACGCCGTCGCTTCGACGACGTTGAAGCACGGCCGTTGGAAAGAGGCCGAATGGGATAACTGTCTCTCCCTCGACGAATCCCGTTTTACTGTGCACGGTAAAAATGCATTCGAGTCTGCAGATAGCCTAACCTTATCACTCGCAAGCACATTATGAACAGTCAATTAGAATCCATTGGGATTCTAAGAGTTAACGAATCCTTTACAGTTCTTAGGGTCACTTTTGGAGGAGTGTCTGTTCATGGTGTGTATAGGTGGCCGCACTGACCGCAGAAATTCATCCTGAGGGAAAATTAATAACTGTAATGGAAGGTGGAAACATTCACAGCTTGGTATAACCGCGATACACTTCAAATCTTGAGTGGTACATTTGTTTGCTTATCTCCATGTGATTGCGAGATGCAAAGGAAAACCATAAAGGGGGAAAAGTATTAATATCTGAATTAAACCTAGAGGATCGCCGGTATAAATGTTTAAAAATGCAGACTGGATAATGAAGAGACTAACTCATGGGAAAAAAGCCCAATTAATAAAATTTCTCATCTGCTGCTGAAGTTGCATTCTAAAATCAAACCATGTCATCACTGAGAAACTACTCCTACTCAGACAGAGAAATGGTCTAGCGGAAAGACAAAGGGAATAGAAGAACGCAGATCAATTTGGAGCCTTGATTGAAACCTTGAAAGGGCGATCTTGCTCGGAGATACGCAATTAATTGAACAGCGTCACCGTTAGGAACGTGGAAAGCACAGACGTCTTCTAGAAAGAGGGGGGACGGAGCGTCTCATCCATATGTAGTCAGAGGGCTCCGTTTTAAATTGTCGCTCTTCTTGACCGTCCCAGGCGTTCGGGGGAATGAGAGACTTGCTTTGACATCGTAACTCAAAATTGAAGACTACGCTCAGGGATAGAACGGGGCGGATTCATACCGTCACCAAGTTCATCTGGAGGCTTCTTCACAACAGAATACTTACTTGTATGGACGTTTCTCGATAGATACACTTGTTCTATTTCAGGATGAGTGAGCAACTCAAGAATTGGAACAAGATCAGACAAAATAAGTGCAAGCTGAGAGATGAGTACGGGGTGGATGGCGATGAGTTATTCGAGAGTTTGAGTTCCAAATCCGTGTTCACCGTCATTGAAGAGAAGACCATTCGCAGCAAGAACGCTCCAAATGAACGCTTTGATGAGATCTTCGCAATCCTGTACCGCAAAGATCCCCTGAGAACTATCCCCATTTTCCTTGAGGCACTTGAAGTAAAACACAAAGTAGCCGCAGACTATTTGAAAGGTATTTAAAGTCCTTCGGGCACTCTTGTCTGGAATTAGTCGTGAACTATTCGCAGTTTTGTCTAATTATGTGAAAATGCATGCCAGAAAGATCGATATATCATTGCTTATTCTCCTTTCCTGGTTTCAGGTTTTCACCCATCCACATGAAAACCGCCACTTACAAGGTACGAAACTTTTCTTCAGTGAGGAGACAGGCTGGTACGCAACGGAAATAATAAGTATTCCGAAACTACAGCTTTGGATTATATGAATAACGCGATCGTTGTGATTCAACCATTAACATATTCATCTTGCACCTGCAGCACTAATATGCTGGAAAATATTGCAGCAGTAACCTACTCTTGAAAGCTATCGTGATTCCGTTGCGTTTATCACCCTGCCATTAACCTCCACCATCAAAAGCCTAATTTTGAATAGCAATTTCTTTTCAGTTCTTATACACGCGCCAACACAGACGACCTTGTACGAGTAAAGGATATCCTGAAAAACGCCATCATTAGCATCGACAACCTCCTCGATATTCTTGCAAAAAAAAAAAATTCTGTCGGCATTAGAAGGAAAGGAAACAAGGAAAAAGCCCGACTACAAGTCCCAGTTAGAAGCCATATTCGACATCCTCCTTGAGAAAAATCCTGGGGATATGTATGAAGGTGTCTTGGAAGCCCTGCAAGAGATGAATCGTGACGACATCATTGGGGAGATTCAGCAGGTTTAAGATGAAGCCGTCATCTTCAATTTGACACTTCCAATTATTGATGATTTGAGAAATGAAAAAATGCCAGCCATACGCTATCCATCAACGTCAATATTTGTCAAATATATTCGACATCTTTTTTAAAAATTCAGAATGCATTAGACCTGAGGAAATGAAACGTTCCTGGAAATAAAGTCAGGAAGTGCTTCGACTCTTGTAGACTTCTCATCCAGAGCCTCTAGAGGAAAAATACTGATATCACTCCTTGGAGATGAACCAATTCGTCTAATGAGAAAATGGATACATTAAAAACACATGCGCTCCAAGCGAAATGAATTAATTGAGTTTAGAAGATCTTCACGACCTCCACGGTCTTGGGACTCAAAGCAGGGTGCATATTACAATTAATCATGTTGCATTGTGTGTTATGGGGCTGCAACACCACCTTGTGCAGCGCTTTCTTGCCTCTTGCAGGCTTTTGCTACCTCTGGCCCTTAGAAATTGCTGGTAACGTTTCCATGAACCTTGTACGCGAGTTTTCATTTCAATGCAAAACTTTGGAAGAACGCCAAGATAGGAATGACTTGATTTCTTGGGTGGTGTACGAAGGACACTCCAAAAGTTCTTGCCAAAAATGTATTAAATATTGCTTGATCCTTATGCAAATGTTTGTATTGTTTTTCCGGGTTTTAATAAGATACAGGGATTTTCATGTTTTGCTAACATTGCGACGCGTAGCGTTAGGCCAAAAGATGTCCAGGACATTGACTTTGACCCATAGAGATCTGCGAATGCTGATTTGATATCGTTTTCAAAGGTGATACCAGTGAAACAGTGTTAGGAAAATATCAAATGGTCTCTGAATGAACTGGCCACCAACACAACAATTTTCGAGTTATCTTCTCGAATTTGTGCAGTATTTCCTGGCAGGAATGGACTTGAATAATTTTTCATCCTCAGGTAGGAAACGGGACACCAAACAGGAACAAAATGTATCCACCCCATGCATAACTTTCTTTTATGGCAGACTCTCCAATTCCAAGGATCTCTTCTCTGAAAGCATATATCGCATTTCGGTCTTTCTGAATCATGGTTTTAAATTAAGCCACATTTTTTCTTCACTACTAATATTGAATGACATTCATAGGACTCGTCCTCCAGGCTAAAATGTCCACACTTGAATTTTCAAAACTATTTATGCAAAAAGAACATAGATGAGGCAAAATTGGACAGTTATGATTTCATCTCTGCAAAACACTGATTCGCAGTTAGGCGCCCTTGGAAACCATACCAAAGCAGCACTTGCAGGTCAAGGCCATCTGCCCTGCACTCTTAGAAAAAGGGGAGCGATTTTTCTCAAAAGAGAGAGTAAAATAGCTAACTCTAGTTTCACCCCCCTTTCACTCTGGGAAAGGAGCGAATTCACTCCATCACCAAGAAGTAAAATTGCTCTCCTCCTCCGTGAGCAAGAACGCTCCCATCAGAAAGTGATAGGGATGTCATGCAAATACGAAAATTCTCATAAGTACTGTGTGGCGCTTTCCCCCTCTTACAGGCGTTGACCTACCTCTGACTGTACTGATTACAGCACACGTCAGAGGGTGCACCATCTCTTATAGGTTCCGTGAAGTGTCCAGGACATCAGTTCCTAATTACCTCATCAAATTGAGGCATGAAGCGAATGAAGTTCACGGACACTCTGCATAGTCTAGATCTCCTAAGCGGATAAAATCATAGGCCTCTCAAAAGGGTTCTCAATAGGAATATGAGCTTGTTTATGGCCTGGACTCGATGAATATGTCTTGAACATGTGGATAACAAATGATGAAATATCCGTGTTTATTGATTCCTATAATGAGACTAGACGAGACATACGGCAAGGTACTAAACAATCCTGCGAGGGACTATTCCAGGGAAAGAGTGAAGGGAACTTTTGTGTACTGTGCGAAAAGCGAGACCCTTACCTCCATCTAGTGGCCTGACGAAGAACTTCAAGGTGTTCACTTCAACTCACTGTGCGGTGAGGGAGCATTTGGTGAGTAGTGAGAGAGTAAATTCGAAAAGCTCACGGTGTGCTCACTTTTTACTGCCCAAACGCTCGGAATTTTCTAAGAGTGTGGAGGTGACCTATTTTGGCCTTGTGCTACTTTTCACAATTTTGGTTTTAAAAATGTCCAAGAAATCTCTGAATTATTAGAATTATTATATTAATTTCTTATTGAAATCCCGTGAAGCAATAACAAAAAATATAATGAAGATCAGATAATATTTAATGCCATTTGGCAAGAACTTTCGGAGTGCCCCTCGTAAAGTGAACCAGAAATTCTCGAAAAGTGTGCAGAGTTGGTGATGAAATTCGGATCCCAGGTAGATCCGACGCGCTTTCCGGGCAAATTCAAAATCCTTTTTTTAAATAATCTTTTGGATGCATAGGCGTAGTGAAAATGTTAGATTCTTCAAATGTCAAGACAACCTTCCTCCAGCGTTCTTGCTTTTATATTAATTTTACTTGGTCACACTTTACTCCTATGTTCCTTCTTCTGCCTCACGACTTTATTATGGAAAACTTTCAAATGTTGCATCGCCTTAATTGGGAAAAGTTCCACCTTCGATGCTCCAATTGTCAGTAGCTGAAAGCCATCGCCGTGAAACAAGCTCCCTCATGAGATTGAGTTTCTCTGGCACGTGAGATGGAGACGTCTGATTTCCCTCATTCCTCAGAATCCCTCAGACATCGAATACAGGGTTCTGGAGCTTTGTACCAATTATGTTGGTTTTTTCTTGTCCAAATAAATTAGCTTTTCATGATAGTTGGACAAATAAGAAACGTAACTTACCTGGCTTTACTATGCTAGTGGCAGGAAGCGTGCTGTAAACCTAAGGAAGCGAAGCGCTCTGTTGTCGTGCAAGGAGTCGCATTGCTTTTCAGAGACTACCCCCGTCATATGTAAAACTCCTACATTAGACCTGTGATAACCCTCGGCACACAATCATGAGAATGGAGATTGGTTCCAATAAATGCCAATGTCGTGAGTGAAAGCTCGTTCCATTTGTCATCCCACGCGAAGCCCCAGCATATCTATCGATCAAGTTGGCCATAATGCAAAAAAGAATCATTCCATTTTCTACTTGGGTTTGTAGTTCAAAGTAGCATACTGCGCAGAGCGCACTTTCCAACCCTAGCCAGAGTGTTCTCCGCTACACTCTATTACAAACTTTTCCGGTCTCAGCGCTCATGCGAGATGGAGAGCATGGGAAATGAACCTTCCAAATGTGGGCGAGTCTCGGTCTCAGAAGCATCGACGGCTAGAAGCGCACATCAGCTCCGACGAAAAAGGAAGGCAGACGACTTGCAACACAGCAGAGTGACGATCCGCGAATCTTTTTACTGCAAGTCTCCGTCTCCCAAATAATAAACTTTTCTTACTCTTTTTGCTATCTACCGATGTGACTCAGACAGGGGAAAACGTTGTAACCTTTTTTTAAGAACCGAACTGGGATGGTACCTGAAAATTGGCTCCTATTCCTCAGGCCGCCGCATAAATCGTATATCGATTTTGAAGCACAACGACCTCGCCTGAAAATAAGATTCTATCGCCTTCTATTGTCGTTCGGTAGAGGGCTTCGCACACGAAATTTATTGCTGGAGAAACACATCCTCGGACCTGAAAGAAGATTTTTGCTTTGACCACCACTTCATAACACAAAGCGTTTGGCCTGCCGAACTGTCCCACACACACACACACACATACTTACGCACAGAAACAAGCACACACGCACTCACACAGGCTCGCACACGAACACATTTGTTGTTTGGCTTTGCAAGGGGCCAAGATCGCACAAAAATGTTTACTCAGAGGACCTCAGACGAGGCCCTCCGGTTAAAGAGGATGGTACCCCTTAAGTCCATGCAATAGGACGAGAGAGGAGTGCGAAAAGTCTCGCACTCAACGACTTCCTACCGTTATTCGTGAAAATTTTCAAAGTAGCGAAGGTACCACATGCTGTAACGAAAGGGCCCGTCATATTTCAATTCAGTAAGTCTGCATCTCGAGCGATGAAAGCCACACGAGAAAAACGGGACGAGAAGTTTCTTACGGAGTGCGTATGAACGCAAATAGCAAGGAACTCCCGAATCGCCCAGTATTTACTCAGGAAGCTCGAAATCTCTCAAATCACGGCCACAGTTATAAGGCACTGCAGTGAGCGATGCCACCGTTCCCGGGCGAATCATGCGCCAACTTTAGTCTCCTCGGCCATCCTGAAGATGGCGAGATGTGAGGAAAACTCCGATTTTTCATGGAAGTTTCGTGATGCCTATCTTCAAAATTTCATGTAAAACAAATTTTCATTTTATGCTGGAGGCAAAGAGGGTGAAAAATTCCTTAAGTCCAGTCTCAGAGGTCTCATGAGGGATGAAGTTGCTGCTAGTGTTGTCTTCAAAGGAGAAGGAAAGTCAATGAAAATGTTTCGATGAAAAAGGCGACAGTACTTTAACATCTTCGCCGCCACGTGTCCACTCGTGGGTCACGTGACATCGCGGTTAAAACGTCGGAAATTGCGTTGCTAGCTGATGTCCTAACTTTTACGCTGCGAAAAGCGAATTCAGATATAACATTATGCAACATTATCATTGGCTGCGTACCAAAATTAAATTCGGGAGCGAAAGGGCTTAATGCGTGAATGCTTCTGCCGTGAAAAAGGCATGGACCTTGGAAAATGCAACTCGCATGTGATGAATGGAACATGGGAGACCGACAAAAAGCTATAGAGCGCCAGCAGTGAAGTGCTTCGCTCGCTTGCATCTTCCATGTCCACATCCCCTGCCACACGCACATTCACCCACATTCACATTCCCCCTATCACGCGCCTTCTGCTTGGTTCTCAGAGGCCGTGCAGCTGAAAACCGAGATTGAGTGATGAAAATAGATTTCACGCCATTCTGTCTCATCCGATTGTCCTTTTCCCCACGTTTTCAAGTGAACTGTGAAAGCCTCGTTTTTTTCATTCTTTCTTTCACGGTTTACATAACCATTGGAATCCTTCAAAATATTATTCCTGATCTTCTTCCGTCTACCAATTCATTTCTTGTGCAGCAATCCATGATCATCAAAGAGGTAAGCGTGATTTCCATTTATGCACCGAAATATATTTTTAACAGAAAGCGGTGGATTTTAGGACATAGCTTCCAGAGGTTAACTTGGTCTTGCGAGCCAAGAAAGACATGAGCCTGGAAGCGGCCATGAGGAAGGTGATGCACACGAGACTCGATCTCGTGGCATCGTCCCCTATTCCCACATTAGCCTTTCTTCTGTCTATGCAACCAGCTCCAATGACATCGCAACGCTCGACCACTTGCAACGGGGCCGGGGATGCTTTGTATGGGGAGCCGTACTCAGGAATCCAATGTAGGATGCTGGAAAGACTATTATCGTTGACTCACACCAAATACGCATGGTCTCACTTGTTACCTTGGAGAAGCGAATACGCTTTCATTTTGCCCTTCCCCAGTTTAAGAAAACGTCGTCCAACCTGTACTTGTCATGACCCATCATCGAAGACGGGTAATTCCTCGATGGAAAAATCGGACAACCCTTTCTCTCAGACCGAGTGTCTTGTAACCTCGCCCCTTTAATTCAGGCGGATCCAATGCTGGAGACGACACGTCATTTATCATATCCTGTAAGCAATGCCATAGCATCAAGGCACTCGCCTATGACGTTCCTCGATACAATTTAAATCCCCCAGTCAGTAACCTCGTAACATCCGATGGGCGATCCTCCGAACTCCCAAGGAGCTGAATATAAGACAGGAGAGAACAAAGAGAAGAGATTTAAAACGGCAACTAGTATTGTGCTTGGTGGGCTGGGGCTGGAGGGAAGTAGATATGGGGTAGATTCGAGGATCCAATCTTCTCGTTCTTAGTTCTCGCGATTCTCTTCTTGGACCCTAGTCTCCAAAGGGGATTTTGAAGCGGTGTTTTTCTGGTGCTATTGGTGTAGTGATTCTTGGTACTTCCTGTCATTTTCTTTGTTTTGTCTGTTTCTTTCCTTCTACCACCTATATTTTCCATTCTAATTTTGTACCTGGCCGTGGAATCTCTGTTTAGTACCATAAATTTCAATTTTTATTTAATCTCGGACCATTCCTATATCACTTCCAGAAGTCGCTGGGCAGGGTTCACGAACATGAGTTCAAAAGTCTATCACGCCCTAATAATGGAAGCCTGCCACCCTTATATAATCCATGGCACATGCCATAATTGAAGACATTCCTTCAAGGGGAATCACATTTGTCAAAATTTCCCTGATGAGATGAAATGAAAGTCTCAGAATGTTCCGGACCAGAGAGATGATAAACATGTTAAAACATTTCATCTGGAGAGGAAACGCATTTGTGCAAGCTCTCATATGCAGAAAAAATGTTCCCTGGAGCTCTGATACATCTGAATTGCATGGGGTGTCTCCGTGGGATGGATTTGGCAATGTTAAAAGGGGAGCGATGAAAGTCCACATAATTCCATCATAATCGGTGTTCTGCTTTGTTGAGGTGAGCTGTAGTTCATTATTCATAAATCCTTATGGCTATAACGACGTTTACAAGGAGTAATACTTTCCCCTCCTTTCGCAATAAAATTAGTAGAAGTCTCTTTTCCTCATAGATCAACTGGGTTCAATACCTAAGATAATTAGACTACGTGACTACTGGAAGCACGATTGACTTACAGGTTCGTGGTCACGTGGATCATATCGAAGGATTCTTGGGGATATGGTAAATGTACCACGACAATGACATCAAAAGGGCGCTGGAACGACGAGGATGGACGAGAAGGAGAAAATATACCAATGGCTGGCCGTGGCAGGCGGGAGGAAGAAGAGGATGGGGGAAAGGTAAGTTTTGATTTAAAAGCAGAAAGGGCAAACGGATAAGGTTGAAACATGGCGGAATAAAATTAGCAGTTGGCATGTAACTTAAATTTGAGGTTCGCATGGGCACCAATGGAAGTCTTCCTGGAGAGCCATTTTACTTTTATTATAGGTAAAAAAAGAAGAATCAATTCTAAGCCACACTAAATGGAAATTAGGAAGTATGTAACTTCATCCTAATGTCTAAATTATGTGTGATTCCTGAGACATGAGCTCATCTTCGTTCTCCTAATAAAATGTTGCCTATACGAGGTCTGGTCAAAAAGTTCCAGTACTTTTATTCGTAAACTTTATTTTTAATAAGCACATTAAAATTAAATGTTGTCCCCTTCAAAGTATTCCCCCTCGATGCTATGCATTTATCCCAACGTTCCTGCAACTTCTGGAAGCAGTGCTGGAAGTCCTTGAGTGTAAGACTCTTAAGATGCCTCGTCGCATTTTCCTTGATGCTCGCAATGCCTTCAAATATTTTTCCTTTCAAATGAAATTTAATATTGGGGAACAGGAAAAAGCCACACGGAGCCAGGCCCGGTGAATAGGGAGGGTGGGGCAACGCATGAATTATTTTTTTTAGCCAAAAACTCTGGAATTGTGAGAGCAGTGTGGGCTGGAGCATTGTCGTGATGCAAAAACCAGGCTTCACTTTGAAAAGTTGGGGCCATTTTCTTCTAATTTATTCTCGCAAACGGGTCAAAACATTTTTGCACTAAGCCTGGTTGACTGTCTGGCCTTGTGGGACAAATTCATGTTGCATCAGGATAATAATGCATGATCGAAAATTCGACGAAGAGCACAGAGACGACCGGATCTCAACACTCCTGTTTCGGGAATGATTAATCCTAGCGCAAAGGAGGTTTCACCATGCTTGCGGTTCCCCCCCCCCCCCCCCACTCACACCTACACTTGCCCTAGCCCCCTACCTAAAGCAGTTTATTTTTTAAGAAGAAAGTACTGGAACTTTTTGAACAGACCTCGTACACACGAACACTACCTTTTGAAGATAAATGACGATGATCACTGGCACTGAGGCCAAGACTGGATAGAACATTTTGAAGTAATATGAATGGAAATCTTAGGTATGAAAAGTATCCTATATCTAGATCCAGAAGAATGTGGTAATGCCACTTGAGCTTGCTCTATCTTGCTCTGGTCTGGTTTGAACACCACTTCTTGAAAGTTAATTTGAACAATACACCGAAGACATAAAATTGGTGGAAACAATTAACACGTGTCAATTCACATGAAGCTTCTGACACCATATCTCATAAACAGCGTATTTTCCCTTTCAGTACAGAAAGCGCAACCTGTATCTCCCGAGAATTAACTCTGAGGACTAAATTCGTAGTGGTAGCTTCAGTCATACCGTGAAGTATTCGTATCCATGCGAAACCGGCTCGACAGGCGACACCTTTGACAATCTTGAAGGGCTATTTGAAATGTATACAAGTCCCCTCACAAAAGAATGGGAGATGACCTTGATAAGGCGTGAAGGAACGGGCAATCTCTCTCTCAAGGACATCAGCATTGAGGGACCGAGGGGGGAAGAGCCAAGCGTAACCGGTTTACACTTTCGCTGCCATGTGTCCCGCCGGCGTCTTGTTTTTGTAGTTTTGGTCAATACAGTCCACGATATCGTGGAGTCTTCCTTTCGTCTTTGGAATTTTTCACTACCTCTTGATGAAGTCAAGTTACGAATTTTACCAGTATTTCTTGACTAGTGGTTTTTTAAATTATGAATTAAAGGTACAACTTACCATCGTGCGCGAAAATGCATTGGAATTACTTCTATAGTAGATTCCACATAATAAAATACTCTACTTGATGGCATACTATTAAAAGGACCCATTTTACCGTGAGATACATCAGATAGATTCGGTTTTAGGAATACTCCAGATTATAGAATCTATTTCGCTGGTCCCGTGCGTATTCCCATAAGTGGAGTCGACTAAACCTTATTTATGCGCATATAGGGGCTATTACATATTAACAACATATAGAAATTAGAACTCAGGGCATATAGGGACATTATATATAGTCGCTTATGTAAGTAGTCTTCCATTTCTATATTTTTCCTCGAAAAGTCTCATTCTTCGGGATTTTCATTATTCATCTCGTAAATTAATGAACATGCAATACTGTATCCAAAATATACACAGGCTAAATTCATCAGGGAAAATAATTTTGGCATACCACATTCGAACTTCATGGAGGCCTTGATAGAGTACTAAGGAATTCATTATCGTTCTATTCATTCCCAGGTACACATTGAGCGGAAGAATCAAGATGACAATAAGTTGCAAGAAACTATCGCAGCAGGCTTGGAATTGGAGAAAAGAAAGCCAGCAGATTACGTGGATTCAGTGAAGAAGTTGACGATTGGACTGAATGAAATAGAGAAAAATCCACAGATTGGCAGACAAGCAGAGGTGAAGGAGAGGATGAAGACCATATTGGACGAGTATAAACAATCATTTAAATTCAAAGAATTCAAAGACAATAATTCTCGCACGCCGTTGCACTGGGGATGTATTCTCGGAAACGAATTCACGGTCTCGCTGTTCCTCGATGAGGGAGCGGACCCAAACGGCCAGGACAAGTGGTTGAACACGCCGCTTCATTACGCCACCTACTTTTGTCCGGGCGTCATCCTGATGTTGTTGGAGAGGGGGGCCAACATTTGGATTCCCAACGAGGAATACGAAACCCCACTTCAGAGGATTCCCCCAGACACACTGGAGAAGTATTTGAACGGGTGTATACAGGAAAAGGGCAGAGGTTATGACTACAATGCTGAACTGGATTTCACCTTCCTGATGCCGCCAGAGAAAGCAAAAAAATCAAAGGACGTGGAACGGTCGAGAGACGAAGAGCCGGTGTTTGCCGAGACGACCGGTCTCTGGTGGATGACTAAGAGCCCCAAGCATCACAGGGTCCTCAAACATCCAATCATCACTGCATTCCTGGATCTCAAGTGGCAAAAGATCTCTAAAGTCTACAAACTGCACTGCTGCGCATACATGCTTCATCTGGTCGTACTATACGTCTTTCTCGACGCCGGAGCGTTCCCAAGCATGCAGGATGCACGAAAATCTATGACACGCGGGTCGAACATGGAGTGCCCTTGTGACAATAGTTTTGCTTCATCTGGAGACGATAATGTCACAAAAGAAGTGTTCCTCGACCGTAAAACGTACTTCCCGTTCATGTCCACGGGATGGACTGTGATGCGATTCGTGGTGGTCTTTCTCAATTCCTTCATCTTGCTCCTAGAGATCTTTCAGCTCCTCTTAAACCCCTTCAGGTACCTGATGAACTTGATGAACATTCTAAAGGTGGCCATGGTGGCATCCACGTACGTCTTCCTCTTCGTTGACGACATGGACTGGGGTTGCTGGAGTGGCGTACTCACCCTCTTTTTCTCCCTCTCTGAGGTGATCCGTATCGGGAGCCAGCTCCCTTTCTTTTCCATCTACGTCCACACATTCACCACCATCGCTGCAAAATTCCTCATATTGATTTTTTGGTCTTGGTCGGTGTTGGTAATCATGTATTCCTCCGTCTTTATGTTTCTTTTTTATACTGCGGACGAGTTCACTTCCTTCCTATCATCGCTGTCGAAGACCATCGTAATGCTGATCGGGGAGTTTGGCTACGAGAACATCCCCTTTGAAAGGTACTGGGGATTGAGTCATCTCACTTTCTTAACGTTCGTTGTCTTCGTGACGGTCATATTGATGAATGTGATGGGTTTGGCCGTCGGCGAGACGCAGAACATCAAGGAAAAAGCTGAAGCTCTGCAGTATGTGTCTCAGGTGAAGCTCATCTTCTACGTGGAGTCCATTTTCCTCCAGGACCCGGAATACATCTTCCACGTGTTCAACATCTGGACTTGCGCGAAGAAGTGGCGTAGGGAATCCATGCTGAAGCGACGATCTCGTTTCCGATTTCCTTCTCTTGTAAACATTTTTCCGTGCTTTAACCCCATCCTCAGATTCTTGGCAATGAAACTCATGCTGCTTCAAGCGGACGACGGGTGGCATCCGACGTTGCCGGTGCACCCAATGATGGACCTCGTCAAGGAGCTGGACATCCCAGGAGAGATATCGTCATCTCTCGGTTCTGCAAGCGAACAGACACGGACAACACGGAGGACCCATGTGATTCAAATGGATACTGATGCGCCCAAAAGTAATTCACGTGCAAGCAGACGGGAATCGGAGTCACGGGAGACATCTTTAAAGGCTCTCAGTCTGTGCCACCGGGAAGCGGAGAATCTCATCTGTTTTTTGAATGAAGCACGCAAGCAAAACTACTAAGCGCAGCGGGAAGAAAATATCTCGGAAACGGAGGGGCCATCGAAACGAAGGAGCAGGGCATTTTGAGGAGGAGGAGGTCGAAGAACTCAGCGTAATGGAGCGTTTGTCGCATCAAAGTAGCTAGAAAACCAAGAAAATAATTATGACAATAAAAATAACTAGCCGAACCGTGGAAGACTTCCACAAACTCTTCGAGAAGAGTTCGCGAGTTCATTCAGCGGCCCTAAAACTCAGTGGCTCTCTAAACGCTCAAGGCGGCAGCTACTCTATCCCTTATTGACTGGAAACCCTGTTCTCGCATTGATCGATACTTTTTCCTCTTGATCACAACCAAGCCTGCATCGTCCGTAAAGTCCATCACCATCACTTTCATGCAAACCTATGAGTGAAAAATACACATATGGAAACAGGATGGTAACGACGCGACCGGCGGCGTCCTGATGATCCAAAGAGCCTGTTCTATCCCACCCAGGTGGGATCCTGCCGCTTTCTCACACGGGAGTTATTCTCTTTCGAGCGAAAGAAAACGGCACTCCAAGTGTTGTACTTCAGTTTTCTCGTGTGAAAGTTCGTATGGAGGATGAACACCCCTTTCTTAGGGGGGGGGGGGGGGGTGTGCAAGGCGTAAAATGACTCTCTCCCATTCTCAAGAACAGATCCGACAGTCGCGAAGGCCGGAGAGAAAGTGCTAGCTCGAGCACGTGAGACAGGCACCTCAACCCGCGGAAGCTTTCTACGAACTGTTTCTCAGGCATTCCCGAATTTAGTCGGCAGCTCTAAAACTCAGTGGTACTCTCAAAGATATAAGCAGCAGCCGCTCTATCCCGTTCTCGAGAATGACATGTGGTTGAATTCCACGAAATTTGGATCGGTCTAGGCAAAGGGTGGCCAGCTAGTCGATATCGCCCGGACCGCAAAGTCCTCTTCAACAGTTGACTTGGAGAAGCGTAGATTTTTCAATCTGTTAGCAATTGAAACTTTAATTTAACATTTGCTAATGTGGACCCAGCAACTCGCGAAGGGTTCCATTTGTCCCCCAGCTTAATCAAGTTTGACATCTCTGACCTTGGTTAACCGTGTAACATTGTCGGGAATCCACGAGTTCAGTTAGCGGCCCTTTGAACAATACGTGGCAGTCGCTCTCTCTCGTTCTCGAGGACTTATCCGACATCCGCGAAGGCTCGAACTGCGAGTTCGAGAGCGACGGAGACCCACCAAAAAATACACTTGAGAAACGGGATTGTTACTACGTGACCGGCGGCGACTTTCCGATCCAAGGGTAAGCTTTCCTGTTCTATCCCATAAATATGAAATCCCGCCGCTTTCATCCTAGTTACCTATTACAGTTACTCTCCTTGTGAGAGTGCCGATCAATACGAAGATGGGCTTCCGATCGATAAAAGGGCTGATCTTATCCTTGCAAGGAAGTCAACATTTCTCCAGCGGGATGAAGGGGGACTCGGAGTGCTATAAGCAGGGACGGGGGATGCGAAAGACGTACAATTCCTCCCTCTCTCTTTCTCGATGATGGATCCTCTAGCCGCAATGGCCGGAGGGAAAGTGCTCGCTCCAGAGAGCGAGACAGACACCCGAAACCAGGCAAAAGAAGGCGCCGCGCATACGCACATGGCCCTGCGGACATACAGAAGTCTAATACTGGTATATACCTGTACAGTATATACTTTATGTAGAAGGAAAGCCGAGGGGACTTACGTGGTGGATGTGGAATTTCGCGTTTATACGAAATTGTTGTGAATATGAGGGAATGAACACCCACGTGGGTTAGTTGGGGGGGGGGGGGATGCGCAACAAAACGCACAATGTCCGAGCGGCTGCTGCGGAGAGCGTCGATAGGGCCACTGAGTGAACTCTTGATTACCCGAAAATGCCATATGCTCTTAACCTCTGCCGATCTGAAGTTCGTGGTTGTCTTCCAAGTGTTGGGTTTCCGACTCGGGGGTCCCGTTTTCCTCCGTGCGAAGGAGAGTAACTCGGGAGGGTGAAAGCGGCGGGATTTCATCAGGGCGGGAGAGAACAGCAAGGGTAATCCTTAGATCGCAAGGACTCCAACGGTCGTGTCGTTACCGTATCGTTACGTTTTTATGTCCATATTTTTCACTTGCGTGATGAGGCTTGCATGAAAGGTGATGGAGTGGAAATTACGGAAGATGCGGATAGAGTTGTGATCGATAGGAAAAAGTTCCGATCCATGCGAGAACAGGGTTTCAATCAATAAAGGATTGGGGATCCGGATAAATAAAAGGGCGAAGATCTCACCCCGGCGAAGAAGGCATCCTTCCTTCAGTGGGATGGAAGGGGACTTCAAGGGTTATACCTGAAGACGTGTAAAGAAGGGGAAAGAGCGGCTGATGCCTACAGCGTTGAGAGGGCCACCGAATTTTAAAGCCGTCGAATGAACGGAGGAATGCAAAAAATTTAAACCAGACAAAAAATGCAAAAGGCGGTGATCTCGTGGTATGCGGGTAGTGGGCGTGGAAGGCGGGGACGGGAGAAAGGGACCGGGGGGGGGGGACTTGGGAACCGCCCCACAATGAAAAATGTATGTATCCGCCACTGATCTCGGGTGTCGTCACCTATTCCCCCATGAGTCTTCCCTCTCCTTTCATGCAACTAGCTCCAATGCCATCGTCTACACATAGACCCCATGCAACAGGCCCAGGGATGCTTCCCGTCAGACCTACTTAGGAACCCAATTTAGGATATCAGAGAGTCCATCATCGTTGACTCACACCAATTACACATAGCCTCACTTGTCACCCAGGAGAGGCAAGTACGAGTAATCTTTCGTATCGCCTTTTTCCAGTTTAAGAAAACCTTATCCTGACATCATCGAGGACTGGTAATTCCTCGACGGAGAAATCGCACAACTTTTCCACTCAGATCGAGAGTCCTCTGACCTTGCTCCATTAATGCAGGCGGATCCGATGCTTGAGACAACACAGGAGACGACTCGTAAATCATATTCTGTAAGCAATGACATCACCTCAAAGCACTCGCCAATAACGTTCTCCGATACAGCATAAATCACCCAATCAGAAACCTCGTAACATCCGATGTAACAACCCTCCGAACTCCAAAGGAGCAGAATATAAAACCGGAGCGAATATAGGGAAGAAAGTTGGAATAGCAGGAAATATAGTGCTGAGTGGACCGGGGCTGGAAGGAAGTAGATTTGGGAGAGATTCGAGGATTCGATTTTCTCCATCTTAGTTCTCCGGATGCACTTCTCGGGAACTAGTCTCTCAAGGGGATTGTGAAGCGGTGTTTTCCTGGTGCTCTCGATGTCGTGTTGGTGCCTCCAGCTTTTTTCTTCGGTTTCGTTTGTTTCTTTACTTCTCCTAATATTGGGAGCCTGCGACCAGTATGTAATCCATGACACATACCATAATTGGATATATTTTTGGGGGGGAAGCATGTTAGTGAAAACTCCTCTGATGAAAAATAGGTCTCAGAATGTTCCGGAACAAGAGTGATAATATACAAATGTTGACACATTTTATATAGAGAGGAAACGTATTCATAGAAGCCCTCATTTGCAGAGAAAATGTATTCTCAAGAGCTCTGATATATCTGAACTATACAATCAGCAACGCATGTGTGCCCATAGGTCGGCGTATGTGAGGCAGCTGCGGCGTTTCTGTGGCTGTTTGGTTGTTGAACCATGTATGGCACAGGAAACGTTTGCACCCTTGACCTGCACTTGGCAGACATGGATGTTCCACGCACATACATAATGTACGACTGAAGACGAGAGGAACCATTTGCTGATGCTTTCATGAATACGATATTATACAATAATACTATGTACTATACAGTATTTAGTACGTTTCAGGGGTAGATCAACTCCTGAATTATCCTATGCTTCTTGCCCATCCATGGGTCAAACTCTTGCTTGAGTAGGGACTCATGTCAGTACCAGCAGTACTAGTACTGTAGACATACATGTCTCTGCCATAGTAGCAGTTTGCCGCAGAAAAAACGGACATTTATGGAGTAGCCCACACATGCGCAACGTTGATGCCATGCTTCCACGTGCAGACAGACCAGTCATAGGCTTTGATTGACACCCATAATATTCGAATGAGGCACAACAAAGGAAGAATTCGGAACTCCCAGGACTCAGATGGAGAAAGGGGGAATGGTACTTGTCATTCCCAATTTCCACTATATAACACTCTCCGGGGAGCTCCGTCTGGAAAAGTTGTGTCTCAAGAGACACAACTCTCGTATTTCAGACACTCTTTCAACGAATAATATGGGGTGCGTTCCGTTTTTAGAGAAACCCCAGTTGCCTCTAGGCCAATATAGGGCGACTTCCACTCCTTAGGTTGTTAGACTCGTCGTTCTAATTTCGAACGCCTGAAATAAAAACACTTTTGAACCCCCTAGAATAGGGGATGATTTTGAGCACTGCCGGGATGCGTATTGACTCGATAGGACCGATCTGACCCATGCATATCGAACCTACGAATGACATCGGACTTTGTGTGGAAGCAACCAATGATTGGCCCACACAAGACACCACAATAGCCTCTGATGTATATGGTCTCTATGGGGTTCCTTACAAATTGGCCACCCCTATCCACCTGGTTCCAAATCCACATGGGAAGTGAACATTTTGTGTGTTAATGTGTGGTGGAATTGGTCACGTTAAAGAGCAGCGACAACAGTCCCCAAGATACCATAATAATTGGTGAACTGCTCTGTCGAAGTGAGGTATAGTTGATCATTCATAAATCCATACTGTTATAATTACGTTTACTTACACGGAGTATACACTCGCCCAAGTAATAAAATTGGAAAAGCCCCTCCTTCCCACAGAGTAAATGCTTTCAATCCCTAACATTACCTGTAAAATATTACGTAACAACTCGGAGCGCGATGGACTTACAGGTTCGCAGTGATACAGATCCTATCGAAGGATTGTTGGGGATTTGGTACATGATCCACAGGCATGCCAACAACAGGAGGCAGGAACG